TCCTCTTCCCCTCGGAGTTATGTAATATTCTAATCAATAATGAATAACAAGTTAAACAAAGGAACAGGACAGAAAAATCAAATAACCTCAAAGCCGCTAGTCATAGCTGCACTTAGCTGGACACAGGAAGACTTGTAGGGACCTTTGGCTCCATTAAAAGCTTGCACATTTTTCCTCACCAGAAGTGTGTGAGCATGTGCTCATGTCGGTGACATTTAGGAGGTTATGAATATTTAAGAAATAGGAACTGAAAGTCCTCCTGTTTGCTAATGGAGGCGACACCCACATCAAGAGAGGCTTTTAGAGACACTCATCAGGCCTGCCAGCCCAGCAGGATACAATCTGCAATTACTTCACTGCAGATCTGGAAACAGAATTGATTTTACCTTATGTAACCTACTGACCCTAGAAGTCTAGAAAGCCATTTTGGAAATGAGTCAACAGATTCAGGGTCTATACAGTAAATAACTTCCAAGCCTAAAAGTTCAAGCCCTTAAAACAATTCTAAATATGATCCTGCATTTCTTTTCTAGCATGCTTTGGCTGAATGAAGAAGGTTGGCCCAACAAAAATGCATATGATACATGATAGAATTTCTAAAATATCCACCTTTAGTTTATGTCAAACTAAAGTTCTATATCTGCCATCAGTATTTTGCCACTATATGGAAGTTTGTGATCAAGATAAAATAAAATGCCTTTAAAATCCCAAATAAAGGGAAAATGGAAGTTTTCACATCCATGAGTTGCCATTATAATATCTAGACCACAGTTTCTTTGTTCTGTGGGAGAGTGGATGTCTTCCTACTGTCACCCCATTGTGGCTGCCCTGGCTTGTGGCTCTAGAGTAGAATATCATGCATTCTGATACATCTCAAGCTTGCCAGTGAATTCATGCTTACTGTTTTCACGAATTTCCCACCAGTTATGGATTTGTACATGGTTTATTCATGTAACCAGGCCCCAAAGGCACTATGTGCAACCCACACAATACTCACCTATGCCATGTTCAAAGAGTGTCCCTGCCATACCGTTAGATGTCACTGCATAGTGGACTGCTTAAAAGGTTTCTCGCACTGTCCTGTGCTTACCCCAGTGTGAGCCTATCACAGTAGGTCAAGGAAAATATCAGGCAGAAGTTCTAGAAATCCTAAAACCCTGTCCATCCCAACCTGGGAGACTTGGAGATAGAAGGAGGAGAAAAGCAAGAAAGTATTAGACAGTCTCCTTTTCCAACTTCACTCCAGTCCGCACTAGGGGCTTTTAAGATACCCAGGCTCATGTGAAGAGTTCAAGGGCATAAGACCCGGGGTCACTCACTGAGCATGTCACAAAGGAAGCTGCAGGACTCTGGACATGCCCAAACCATAGTTAACATGTTCAAGAAGAATAGAGTGGAAGCAATGAATTAAATACACCTGAACTCATGCTCTTGGTTCTATCTGTGCATAGTAGGCAGAACACTCCAATATCACTCATACAGGCATCTGGAACATGCTATGGGAGGACAGCAAAGCTTCAACGTTAGGACAAAAGGAGAGCCTTAGTGAGGACTTAGAAACAGGAGCAAATATTTCACTTCTCCCAAAAGGCCAGATGGACCAGGCACATCCAACAGTCACCCTACCAGTGAACAGAAGCCAATACGGATCCAGGATGCTCTGCATGGATCTCAAAATAATCATCACCATACCACAGGATGGATCCAAGATGCTCTGCATGGATCTCAAAATAATCATCACCATACCACAGGGGCATAATGACCCTCCATACACCCACATGGCAGCTGGAGGAGAAGTAAGGCGGGGAGGCGGGACTCAGAACGCCTGGAAAATGGAGCACTGAACTCATCCTGGGTTAAAAGTTAATCTCATCGCCAGGCCGTGGTGGCACACACCTCTAATCCCAGCACTTGGGAGGCAGAGGCAGGCAGATCTCTGTGAGTTCGAGGCCAGCCTGGTCTCCAAAGCGAGTTCCAGGAAAAGGCGCAAAGCTACACAGAGAAACCCTGTCTTGAAAAAAACCAAAACCCAAAAAAAGTTAATCATCATCATCATCATCATCATCATCATCATCATCATCATCTATTGATCTTTTAGTCTGAAAAGAGATTTTTAATTGTAGAAGATTATGGAAGTTTCCCTCAACAACCCAGAAAGGTGGGTGCCTCTAAACCTGAAAAGGATGTTAAGTCTGTTGTAGGAAGTGCAGGCATATTTTCCTCATGCCTCACAAGAACATGGACATATTCCTTGCACACAAATTTCTTGATTTTTTTTCTTCATAACCTTAAAGGAGAAGCTAGAACTCAAGAGTCAAGGGAAACATGGAGGAAATGATAGATTTCCCCAAACAGAAGTAAAAATTTTAAAAACATCTGCTGTGTACATGCAGTAAAACTCAGTAAGTCACTATCTCCATGAATAAGATATGAAGAACTGAGTAACTAACAGGCAGAAGAGCCAAAAGATGGGGGCATCCTGCTCATCGCAAAAGGGTAATTGATTACTTGTTCCTCTCTCCGTCTTTACATCCTGGGGAAACTGGCAAATTAAGAAAATAATAGATGCTACAGTTGGAAGCAATGTTGGCAAACAAGTTAGGATGCTCTCTGAGGAGCTGCAGAGTCAGCTGAGCAGACAAGGTCACACTGGTCATCAGAAGTGAACACTAGACCCCCATGTCAAAGGTGACCCCATCATGAAAGGAGCAGAGTGTTGTCCCCATAGAATAGCCACAGGGCCTTGGGTCAATAGGAAAGATGTTTCAGTAAAGAGGGCCCTGGCTACAGGAGAAACTGAGGCAGTCCAGTGTTGGAACTGGTTCCTCTCATACACAAGTCTTAATACCCACGGTAGGCTCATGTGTCATACTGCTTCTTGTCTGAGCTAATGAACATGCACTGGGAGTCAGTCTCCTCACACGGGCCAAGAGAGCTGGAAGACATGAAGGACAGTGGCTTGAGCCACCACAGAAAACATAGGGGGTACTATTTTTCAGAAAGAAAATGTCCTGATGTCTTTGCTAGCCTTCACTGGAGTTATTGTCTGATTTCCTGGTAACACATATGTCCTACTTAATATTAAATCCCTCTCAGGACCTCAGCATCTGGGTCTGAAGGAAGAGCAGGCATAGAAGTAGTATGTATGTATCATGAACACCTAAGAAAGTTTAGAAAGATGTCCCCTAAGCCAACTAGGCTGCTAACAGCTCAAGAAGCCAGCTCATCTCTTTCCTAAAGTAATTTTTATAGCGTGTGTGCTCACGTGCACACTCCTGTGCACATGCACACATGGGGTCTGAGTGCTCCCATACCAAAGTGCACATCTGGAGATCAGAGGAAAACTTGAGGGAGTTGATTTTCTCCTACCATCACGTGGACTTCAGGAATTGAATTCGAGTTGTCAAGCTTGATGACAAGCACCTTTCCCCATTGAGCCATCTTGCCAGCCCCATCTTTATACATATATAAATCTGTATTGTTCTACCTACCAAAAACAGTCTGTAAAATGTAAAAAGAAAAAAGATGTTACTGATTTTATCAATGCTAAAACTATAAAATACCTTGGGGAAAAAAGGAAAAATTGTTTTCATATGAATAAAATTATAGAACACAAGTAATTGACATGATTGAGAATCTAAATAACTTCTCATGAATACAAAGCTTTGATACTATGTACATAATAATTCAACACAAATTCAATTGTAATTTCAATGCAAATCCAGGCAACATCTCTATAGAGTTCTTCATTGGCTTAACAAGATCCTCCTAGCCTATATGCAGCCCTCAGCTGGGATTCTCTTGAATGAAAATTACAAGGGGGACTAGGAGCAGCATCCTGCAAGATGCATGATAATGCCATTTTAATGCAACTCCAGACAGTGTGGAATTGGCTCAGATATGGACAGTAAACAAATTCAAAGTGATAAAGCATCCAGAAATGGACGCCTGTGGAGATATGAGCTGGAAATGGCATTATAAATCATGAAGGAAAAGACAGAGTAGTCAATAACCAGAAGAGGCAATTGCTGATGTATATAGGAAGATGCATAGCTAAAATCCTACGTGGAAATCAATTTCAGATGCACCATACACCTGAATATGAAAGATCATGTTTCAAAATTCAAGAATATGCAAGTAGAACACACTTGAAATATCAGGGCAAGAAAGAAGTTTAGGAGTCACACAAAGCATAAACAATAAAAGAAAAGATTAGTTAAGCTTGCTACATAAAAGCTGTGAATAGAAACGACATAACTTTACCAAAATGATTTACAGAAACAGACACACAACATCATGGTTTTAACAAGGATTCTCCCTGGATTTTGTCTGGGCCTGATTCTTGGGAGACTTGTCTCAATTTCCTAGACTTTTCCTTCATAGTCAGATCTTGCTATTCTTCCCACAATGATAGTCACAGATTGTGACTGGTGTACAAGTGGAAATGAAGAGGGGGGCAGGGAGGGAGAGAGAGAGAGACAGAGACAGAGACAGAGAGAGAGAGACAGAGAGAGAGAGAGAGAGACAGAGAGACAGAGAGACAGAGAGAGAGAGGGAGAGAGAGAGACAGAGAGAGAGAAAGAAAGAAAGAAAGAAAGAAAGAAAGAAAGAAAGAAAGAAAGAAAGAAAGAAAGAAAGAAAGAA